TTAAGTGGAGAGGAAATGTTTTGAGAATGATGAGGGCAATGAATGTACAAATGCGCTTTACACAATTGATGTATGTATGGATTGTGATAAGAGTTTTATGAGCCCCTAATAAAACGATTAAAAAAGAATAAGTTAAACCAAAGTAAGAAGAATTAAGATCAGAACAGAAATCAATGACATAAAAAGCAGTATAACAACAGAGAAACTCAATGAACCAGAGCCTCGTTATGTGAAAGGATAACTCTGTATTAAGTGTCGAGAGAGGGTCGCGATAAGCTGGCATTGACTCGATGACTGGGGGCCTGCCAAACGGACACACAGATCTGTCTTGGGAAAAGTACGGCCAGCATCTCCTTAGAAGCGAGGATGGTGAGCACTTCATCTTCCGTCCTTCGGACAGGTTACCAGAGAGACCAGTCTCTGGAGAAGACTGCTCAAGCGTGGTACCGCGCAAGGCCCGAGAGGCAAAGGAAGCCGCTTGGACCAGGTGGATTCACCCGGTGGCTGCAACCAGGGGCTCAAACCTAAGAACAGTTGTGGGGATGGCGCCCACCCGGGGAGGTGCTGCAATCTGTTGCCACCAGTCTGAACCAAGTTGATGGCACCTAACATAGGTCAAGGCGCCCTGGTGGCATAGTAGGTTATGCATTCATGAAGGTCCTCACCCCCAGGTCAGCAGTTCGAAACCAGCAGCCACTCTGTGGGTAAAAGAGGAAGTTTTCTACTCCTGTAAAGATTTAGTCTCGGAAACCCAAGGGGCCGTTCGACTTTGTCCTATAGGGTCACTGTGAGTTGGAATCAACTAGATGGCAGTGGGTCAAGGAGGAACCCTGGTGGCACAATGAGTTAAGCGCTGGGCTGCTAACGGCAAAGTCAGTGGTTCAAGCCTCTCACCTGCTCCATGAGAGAAAGATGATTGTCTAGTCTTACACAGATGGATCGTCTTGGAAACGACGAAGCAGTTCTATTCTGACCTAGAAAGGCTCCCATGAGTCAGAACTGAGTGGCCGGCAGTGAGCTTATTTTATTTTTCCAGGTCAAGGAAAGGAAAACTACTAAGGAGACATTCTACTCTGACACATGGGGTTACCAGGGGTTGGTACTGACTGGAAGTCCACAGGCTGGTATGAGTCAAGGAGACAGCCGTGGTACATAGAGAGTTAAGGTGCTAACCCAAAAAGAGGTTCAGAGCCACCTGAAAGTACCTAGGGAGCAAGGCCTGGAGACCTGCTTCTCAAATTCCAGCCCCTGAAAACCCTGTGAAGCCCAGTCTACTTTGATCCGCATGGGGGTGACATGAGACAGAATGGATTCCACGGGGAATCGTTGGTTGCTATGGGTGGGTCAGACACGGTTCAAGTCCCTGCGGGTACAGCAAGAAACACAGCAGATCAAACATCTCAGGCCTGTACACTGGCTATTCCGTCTGCCTGGAATTCTCTTCTCCCCAGAGAGCCACTTGGCTCCTTTGCCTGCTATCGCTGCAAAACACTTGCCGTCTTCTGATACCCAGCCCTGCCATCAAGTCCGTCCGAGTCACAGCAACCCTGTAAGAGACGAGGAGAACCACTCCCTGGGTTCCCTAAGGCTATGAAGCTCCACAGAAGCAGTCAGCTTCACCTGGCTCCCCCAGAACAGCTGGTGGGTTGGAGATGCCCACGTGGTGGCTAGCAGGCCAACGCACCCCCACCCCCACCCCACCGGGGCTCCGCCTGGGCCCCCAGCCACAACATAGCCATTGAGCTTCTCCGAGAACCGGGGCTTGCTGCCATTCATTTCCTCTCCTGTGTTCCTGCCTTCTCTTCCACTGCTTTCTGTTCTGCATCTTTGTTGTTTCTGAGAAAAACAGTATACATTCAGAAATCAAAGTCCAGGATCATACATCCTGACCACGTCTTTCCTCTCTGTTTATGTCTGTGCTTTCTAATCTTTTTTTTAAATAATTAAATCATTTATTGGGGCTTGTACAACTCATCACAATCCACACATATATCCATTGTGTCAAGCACTTTTGTACATTTGTTTTCCTCATCGTTCTCAAAACACTTGCTTTCTACTTGAGCCCTTCGTATCAGCTCCTCATCCCCCACCCCGCTCCCCCCTCTCCAATGAACCCTTGATAATTTATAAATTATTATTATTTTGTCAGATTTTACACTGTCCGACAACTCCCTTCAACCACTTCTCCGCTGTCCGTCCCCCAGGAGGAGCTTATGTATAGATTCTTGGAATCTGTTCCTCCTTTCTCCCTCACCTTCCCTCCACCCTCCTAGTA